ACAAAAAAAAGAAGGTTCTCCAAAAAACAACAAAAATCATAGGCAAACGAAGTGAAACACCTAAAAAATACAAACCATTAAAGGTCCAAACATACCACTCGCTCGAAGACCGGCTGCCAAAATAACCACAAACAACAGGAACAACCTATCACAAGATCACAAGGATTACGACAGCTACAAACCTGCAAAACTTGATTAAACACCAGCTGGCACGACCACGAATCAAAAAAACATGTTAACTTAACAAGAAAAATACATAGAAACCACGTATCACAAGAATTATGAAAAACAACTGTATTTTACAGGATCAGCCTAGATTTCCTAACTATCCTAGCTAACCCTGTCTAGCCGTTAAGCGTCTCTTTTACTCTACCTTGAGAGTCCACGCTACGGGGTCCATCGGGATGAGGTGAATTTCAACACCCCCCTTTACAAGGAGCTACCCGTAGGGAAAATCTCTGGGAGGAATAAATTCTAGCGACGAAGGAATCATATTAGAAATCCCTCATCAAGCTCGTGCGTGCACTATACAAGGACAACGTAGCTACGCTAATGTACAACCTACCGGCTCACTCGGCATGTTGTTACACATGCTTGACCCAGTTTTGACTAGAGGATTGATTAAAAGTTCACTCTCCGTCTAAAGCAATCCGGTTAATGATGCAGTCCTGTGTGAGACAACGCGGTGAAACATCATCTCACTCCGGGTCAGAAGATGAACTGTATCTCAACACTCATAAGCTGTAAGGCTTACCAATTATGGTAGCTGTCCGAAACTTTGCATTTCTAATAATGCCTATACCCAAATCGTTCGGTATCATCCCGCCAACCGTTCTCCATCCACTGACGAAGTTCCATGTGATTGGGCCAATAGTTTTCAGCCCATGGATCGTCTCGTTGCCATTGCACGCCAAGAAAATCAAATGGTTCCAACGGTGAAGCGTCCGAAGGTTGTGAACTCTTCGGTGTAGGTTGCCAAGTGCTCTGAGTATATGACTGCCCAGTTACGGGAGTATTCGAAGACGATGAAGATCTTGGCGGCATCGGTGGAGGAGGCATATGATCACAGTGCCACGGCCTTGCCTCGTAGTGTCCTTCACGAGATCGACCCTCCGGCTTGCCCTGTCCCTTTCCTTTTACGGAAGGCTGTAATCGATCGAATGTCTCGGAGCGGCGGTGGCTTTGGCGTCAAATTAAAATCTGGTGGCCTGGACTGATCTGGTAGACCGTCGGAGGCAGTTGGTCGTACCTTTGGCGGCGGTCTGGCTGCCGGCGATGGTGGGTGATTTGGAGGTGGTAAAGGTGGCGCCTGCCCAATGGGCAGCTTGGCTTTGGGTACCGGTGGTACCTCTGCTGTAGTTGTGGTTGAAGGTGGCCTTGGAACTGGAGGGCGAACACCAAGAAGGTCTTTGGATTTGGAATATTGCCCCGTTTAGGGGGCAACGACATCATCCTGCCAACTGAACCACGGCTTCCCTTTTACGGGAGCATTGGAGCTTTCACCTGCAGTGGTACCGTCGCCCTCAACATTTGGCAATGGTGACTGCTTTGCTCCAGGGGGTTGCCACGCGGCCCCCACATTCTGTTCCGTGGTGCCAGGGACAAAACTTGCTGGATGGCCCTTGGGGGCAATTGGCGGATCTGGAACGACATTCCGTTTAGGGAAATTTTTCTTTGGAGGAACTAGTGCACGAGGAACGGGAGGTGGCCTGTAAACTGATACTGTATGCGTCCCTGTTACGGGAGCTGGTGGCTTCGGAACGCCCGGTGGAGGAACTCTGTCGTCTGACCAAGCTGCAAAGCGACCTGTATCATCACGCTCGTCCTTCTTCCTCCATTGCAAACGTGGCCTCTTGTCAACATCTTCTGTTTCAACATCTGAAGCTTGAGAACGTTTGCGATGAAGCGGCGGCCTAGTTACTGGTGATGGGGCATCACGCTGACCGAACTCCAAAAGAAGTCGTTCCAAACAAATAATCTCATCGCTTGTAATGTCTTGCCCATAATCTGCAAACTTCGGTAAAGAAGTGGCCATACGTTGTTCCAAATTCATGAAGCCGAATGCATCGAGTGTCATACCACGGCCTTTCTCCTGCGTTCGCACTGATTGTTGTACGTTTTGCTGATATTGCGCAATAGCGTATTGTCGTTCTGTAGCGCAAACTCCCGAAGCATCCTTATACACGCCCATCGTGTCTCCACGAGGAATGGAAATATTGTGGATATCGCCATAGACATCATCTGTAGGGATAAACCCCTGAACCTTGACCTCGTCGCGGCCATTGCCAATTACGGCAGCATACTGACGAAGTGAAAGGAATTCACGGCTGTAACTGATGAGAAAATTCTCGCTGAGGCCTGGCTTGAAACATGTATACAAATTGTCAACACCACATCGAGTAAAAGCCAATTTCGCCAGCTCAACGCGTTCTTGACGGTCCAATTCGCTCACAACAGATTTCCCTTTGGACCTCTGCTTTGCTGACCGAGAAGGCGCCGGCAATTGCAGTGAAGCAAAGAGATCTTCTTGAGCTGCATCAAATGCCGTGCAACCCTCTCCAGCTAAGGAAGCATCATCGCGGTTGAATCGATCGTAAACAGTTTCGTACCCCAACTTGAGAGCACGACGAAGACGATTGCGGGCGGTGAGGATCATTTGGCTGTCAACCGAAGGATCACCACGTGGTGGAGGACGACCGGGTTGAAGATCTTGTCCGGCAATGCTGTCAAGCATGCTAGTAGAGGTGATATTGCTGGGCACAGCTGTTCAAGAGCAGCAAACGCCTCAATGTCGGAAGAAATGGTCCAACCCTTCTTAATTGGTGTCCCATGTTCGTCCGTCACCCCAACCTGACAACCATGGAGTCTGTAGTCGACAAGTCCGTATTTCTGTTTTAAAACGTTTAACACTTTTCCATTTCCAGTACTCGCAAAATGAAGGGAGTTCAAAGGAAATCGACGGAGAAACGTTAGAAATGAAATACCTTCCAGGAATTTATCAACATTTCTTCAGGAGGGTGGAAAACTTCTTTTGATGTTGTTGTATCCTCCTGGCAAATCCTTGTTCACATTGTTCCATGGGCATCCTCCAGTACATGGGAGTGAAATGTGGATGTGAACCTTACATTGTCCATTGTCTTTCCAAAATTTAATTGTCTTTTATATCATTCGCTCAACACATTCCTTTGTCGCGGCGTCCTCACTTTCGGTAACCCTAAACACGGTGCATCCTTTGGAAGCGGCCCTTGATTGTCCAAGTTTGGAGTCAGGTGAGCAGCACCATTCGACCATGAGCCTTTGTTGTTGTTTGGGTTGCTGATTGGGCAGTGCGTTCCCCCCTGGTCCAGTTCATTCTCCTTGTCGGAATTCTCAGGGGTAGAAATGTCAAAGTACTGCACAGGATCGCCCCTTGAGGGCGTCACGGCTAAGGAGTTACCCTTGCCTGGAGGTTTCTTGTATGTGTAAAACACCATGTTTAACATGTAAAGTGCGGAATCCCACTTTTGTGGTGAAGTAAATGGTTTAGTCAACACATCAGCAGCTTGATGAAGAGTATTCACATTGATTAAATCGAATTGGTCACTATCGAAAGTCTCTTTTAACCAACTATGAAACACGTTGGCATGCGTGGTTTCATGCATCATCGGTTTTCAGAATGTCAACTTTAGTTATTTGCTGATGCTGACTTCGCCGGTGAGTTTGATAGTAAAAGTACCACAGGTTCTTTTATGGCCTTAGTAGGACCCAACACCTATTGGCCTATCAACGCGTTTAGTCAGAAACAAACCGCCACCCCCGCTGTGTCTAGCGCAGAGGCTGAGGTTGTCGCCGCTAACCACGCCGTTCGTGCTCAGGGCCTTCCGTCGTTATCTCTGTTCAACTACTTAGTAGCTATGAGCGATCCGAAGTGTCCGCCTCAGGCCAAGACACGACGAGCTGGCGTAGCTGCCAAGCCGAAGGCGCCTACTCTGCGCGAACCGGTGTCGGTCGCCAGGATTGACCCGGAGTTGGATGAAATCCAGTATGGTTTACGTGAACCACCTTCAAATCAGGTTAGGTCCTAGCTTCGCTGTTCGCTTTATGGAAGACAAATCAGGCCACGATTACCATTTTGTCCAACGGCAACTCGGTTAACATGCGGCATGCCGATCGAACGTGAGATTTAACGAAGAGTTAATGTAAGAAACTAATCTATGTAAACCAGCATCACAATCCGGTGACCGGGAGGTCGGACATGTTAGTGAATTTCTGTCCACGCGCAGCCTGCTTGGCAGAAGTCTTGTTTCTAACGCCAGTTTTCTTCTTCCCTGCCATAGCATACTGTAGAACACGGCCAACCTAGATCCCTGCATCGGCGGGCTTTTCCGGCATGCGACGAAATTCGCGCTTGAGCCATGTCCAGTGGCATGGCGACATCACGAAGTGACCGATTGATCCACAGCCACGACGCTTTCCTTAGGCGTTTCTTGACAGTCCCCCCAAATCTCATTGATCAAACGGTCTTGCAAAACCTGCACAAAAAGGCTGCACTGGTTGGCGTATTCGCCCAGCAGCCTATCGTGAGATGCTTTGTGACTCCTTCTCTTGAAGGTGGGATCCTGCTGCCGATTCTGCACCTCCTCGGCTACATCAACTAAACTCAACCACCCGCTCTTTAAAAATTGGTTCAGGGCGTCGTTGGCATGAAGGGGATCCATTTTGGTCACGCTGTCCGCCAGCATCTTCTGGTGAGGAACCCACCTGACCATGGAGTGGGTGACAGGCAAGTCCCGCAGGATGATCGCCAGCTCCAGGACTTTCTGTCCTGCTTTCCACTGGGGTTCTCTCTCAAGAGGGATTTGGCGTCCATCACACTGCACTGCTGCTGCCTGCCACCTAGAGCGCATTGCCCCCTCACGACCAGCATATGGTGGCATCTCGCAGCATGACTTGCAGCCAATCCACTTCGTTGACGCCCTGCAGCATTGCCTGGGTCTCACCACCAAAGGTGGAAAACACTTTCAGCTTGCTGGAGCGCCAAGTGATTGGCGACGCCCAAACAGCAGTCCGGCCTTGTGGAAGCCTTTCGGCTGTAAGGACCATCCAGGCACCTTGAGTCGCGTCTTGAGGAAGCCCTTCAGATCTACTTGGTTGGCGCCGTTCACGTTGATGCCGCCTGCGTCGGAGCAAACCACGAAGGACATTCGGTCAGGCTCAAATCTCCAAATTTTCAAAGCTCGATCTGCCGTTGCCCGGAGGAAGTTGACGAAGCCAGACCCGAAGCGTCAGGTCGACTTTCGCGGCCGACCCAGTTTATCTTGAACACCAAAGATCTCAGGCCCTGTAAATTCCTCAGTGGTGAGAGGAGAGGTAGGTTGACTGCGTCTTCCCTTTCCCAAAGCCAGAGGATGAATCTGCTCCAGGATATACTTTGCCTGGTCGACGTAGATGACGTCAGGTGAGGTCTTGATGCCGTCCGGCATATTCGGCGGCATCCTCGTCCCATTATTTCCCGAAGGTGAATCGCTGGTTCATGGCCTGCTTGAGCCATTCATAGTGCCGAGGATCAGCGGCAAGGATGAAGTCGTCCACCTCCACTGCAATACCTGAGCTAGGCACTCGCGCTCCTCATTGAACAGGGAGAACCAGCAGGGCCCTACTAGGTTCCTTTCGAAGGACATGTCGGTGACCAGGAAGTCGGTGACGGCGCGCGCCACTCGGCAGGTGCATCGTCTAGGCCATGCACTGGAACCTCCACGGCTATGAGTGCACCTGGTGGCAAGTGAATTTCTTCACAGGGCTCAGCGAAGATTGGGCCTCTGGGTCGCTTGAGCTTGCGACTCTGACAGAAGGTATTCTTGACATCGGCAAAGGCGAACTTCATGTTGTACACCTGAAGGAACATCATCAGTCCCTCGCTCTGGGGTGTTGGGCTGTAGGTGCAGAGCGTCCCGGTGTCAGGGTCCACATGCCCGTGAATGCACCAACGCGACTTCGCCTTCCAAGAATGAAGCTCTGGCTGAGGCCACTCCGTCTCGTCTGAGACCTCGAAGAGACGCTTGTCCTCCTCAGACATGTCCTTCAGGGAGACCTCGTCGCCACGCTTCGCCACGAAGGACCAGGAGTTATTTTTGTTCAGTGCCAAGCATTCTGAGCCAAATAGGTCCCGCTCCAAAGATCAGTTTCCTCATCGACGTCATCGGAACGCGATGGCTAGGAGGTGTGGACCAGTCGTCGAACCCAGCAACCTGCCTAGGTACTCGGCCTTCTTCCTCTGGCGATTCTTCGACGGGAGTCAGGCGTGTATAGGAGTCATCATCTCTGGAGTTCGCTGCCTATAGGGATCCTGCTGAGAAGACGGTCGACTGGAGTGCCTGGACCTCTGGTAGTTGCGCTCGACGATGACGTTGACTCTGTGGCGGGTGTCAGCTGTGAGACAATTCTGGCTGCCTTCAAGGGTCTCTCGAGGCCAGGAGGTCTATCTGGTTCTCCGGAGGTTCCCCTTCACAAAGACTCAGAGGGCTCGTCGAGTGCTCTGACGGATGGTTCTGAAGCGGGCTCGTTGCCGGAGGATCGGCGAGAGGGGAGCCGGCCGTCATGCTCAACCTCGTGCAAAGGGCTTCGAGATCTTGATCGTGGTTCTGTGTGTGCGTGCGGAGGATGGGCTGCTGGTAGAACACCTTCTGGAATCGTGTCTTGTGGAGCTCGATCTGGAGCTCGATGTTGATCCGCCTCTGGTCATGGTAGCAGCAGACGGAATGCTTGAAGGTCCCATGCCAACGCCCTCCTCCTAATGTTTCACTGTTCACTGGCCCCAACACCTCTTGCGGAGAGGGATCTCCTTCACGAACGACGTCAACGGCGCCTGCCATAGTTCCCGACACAACGGCCCGACCCATCGGTCGCGAAGATGAAGATCTTGACCGGGCTTTGCCCTTCGGAAAACATACACCCTGTGGCCAGGTGCCCAAGAGCGGTCTTGATGATGGGCTGCATGTTGTGACCTCCTGATGGCCTCTGTGCTTTCTTGCTGCATAGCCAACTGCCTGGCGCGTTCACGAATGGCATGCCTTCGTCGGTACTCGCCGGCGGCCTCGTCGACCTCGGTGGGATCGTTGTAGGCATCGTGCACGCCATGTAGAGCAAGCTCATCCTCAGCCAGCAGTTCGCCTGGAATGCGAGGGAGCTCGCCGAACACCAGCTGTGAGGGAGTGAAGCCACCGCGAGTGAGCCAACGATTCTTCACAGCCGTCAGCGATGCCAGAAGCTCATCGAAGTCCTCCAGGGTATTGGTTTGCCCACGTCCACTGTGCAGTTCAGAGTCGAGTCGGTTCTTGAGCCAGCCGCCGTGTCGTTCAGCTTTGCCATTCTCCCACGGCTGCTCAGGATGAGTGACATGTTGAAGCACTCCACATAGCTCAAGACCCCTTTCAACACGTGCACGGAACTCCATTCCACTGTCGCAGATGATCAGTTGGGGCGCGCCGAAGTATCTCTGCCATGATTCAACGAAGTAGATGAGCTCGGCGCGCCTCCTTGCGAGCCGTTGTGTGGAGCTCGTTCCGCAACCTGATAGCTGGTTCCAATGCACACCATGTTGAGGATGGGCACTTGGATCTCCCCGAAGGTGATGTAGAGGTAGTCGATGGCCACGGCCTTATTGAAGCTGCGAGGAAGTTGCGCTCGCCTTCGATGATCTGCGCCTTCTTCGAGATTGCACGCTTCACAGGCGAACTCTTCCCTGATATACTTCAGGATGTGTGGAAGGGCTCCTGCTGCTCGAAATGCTCTCAGCATGCGTGCTCGGTCAGGATGGCCGCAATTGATGTGCACCTTGTGGACCAGTCGTCGCTGAGTGTCACAGTTGCCGGACGATCATGGTCTTCTCGATCGGCTTCAGTGGCGATCTGATCGTTCTCTTTCATCTTGCTCCTCCTCCCAGACGGGGAAGTTGGAGTGATTCTCGGACCGACTGTCAGGCTCGCCCTTTCTGACCACCTGTAGGAACGAGGGCTTCGGCGCTCCAAGAATTGCTTGTTGTGCGGCGGACGCGATTGCGTGGCACAGTCGTGGAATATCCGGATATTCCTGCGCTAGCTTGGGTGAGCACCTCATGGGAGTGGTTGCGATCGCACGGGCCAGGATGTAGGCCAGCCAGGGATTGTTTGTGGAGATCTTGGCGCTCTTCTGGGAGAGCCGAACAGCGCCATGTCTGCCCTTCGTAGAAGACGTTGGGTCTGAGGAAGGTTCCAGGAGGATGCTCCCGCGGGATGCTCCAGTCCGAAGTAGTTCTCTTCTTCGATCTGCTCGTCGATGGCCTCCAGGCTGAAGTCCCACATCAGAAGACCTTCACTCAACTGACGGCTCAGCTTCTGAGGGTCTCCACGTGACTTGTTGATGTGCCTCAACTGACTGAAAGACTTGTCTCCTTGCTTGCCCTGCATGAAGTAGGAGAGCCACGTCAGGTTGCGTTGACATCGTTTGCCCGGACACCTCATACATGCGCTCCTCTGCAGCAACCTCGGACGCATGTGAGATCATTGTCATCATCCATGAGGGCCATCCGACTGAGTTGACTCGAGGGTTCACTCGCGAGTTGGGGAGCGCTGGTTCGGGTTCTCCGGCTCCTCGGCTGGAGGTCTGATTGAACTTCATGTATAGTGCCTGAGCAAACTGGTCGCCTTGGTTCTGCGTGGCCGCCATGGCTTGGTTGGAGACCTGAGCCGCCTCCGGGGTGGTGCTGGCCAGCAGCGTCGAGGGGGCGTTGATGTAGCCCTGGTGATCCACAGAGGAGGCTGCACCCGTCGGGGGCGCCTTGGCCTTTGCCATGGGCGGACTGCCACTCTTGCCCTTCTTTGATGAGTAGGTCGAGCACCGCACTGAAGGCACGTCGTCCATGAAGCATATACTGATTTGCTCGGGAAGCCACCTGCCCTGAGACGGCGTCCGGGGCTTGACTGTCCGCTTCGATGTACTTCTTGTGGTTGGAGGCCAAGCTCTTGGTGCGCTTCTTACAGCGGATCAGCTGCCTGAAGTTGCGGGTGTTCTCCTCCATCCCGCCGAAGAGAGACTCCACCAAGGTCAGCCAGTGTAGTAGACTGGCCGGCGAAGTTCCCTGGGTCGAACGAGACCCGTCTCCATGGCGAGGGAAGTTCGCGAACTCGAATTGGGAAGGTTGCGTCGCTCGGTTGCCCATGAAGGCGATCGAGCCTTGCGGCTGCGGCGGCATGTAGGTCGCCGTGTCTGTGTTTTCATGTTGATGAACTGAAGAAGGATGCTGCTCGACTGAATGACATCGTACTACTTGACTACGATCATGTTCATGGGTGGCTCCAACATCTTCACAAGCTGCACAACTGACTGACTGCTGAAAACTCATGAAAAGTGCGCACACTGCTTGACAACTGGCTCAAAGAATCAAGTGCTGGTTGGGGGCATGTAAGACGACTGTCTCGTTCATTGGGCTCATGTTCAAAGGTGGTTGCGCTGGCAAACTTGGTCATGTTCGTGGGGCGCAGGTTCGTGTCACTGCCTCCTTTCTCGTACGGGGAGGGAGACAGCATGTATTGGAATGCTCCCTTGTCAAGATTGTACTTGGTGGCCAGCTCTTCAGGCACCGGAAAATCAAAGTGCATCTCCACGGACCTCAGGGCAGTCTCACCAATGAGGTCCTGAGTGGCTCCGATGTCGAGGATAGCCTCTCCAGTGGGAATCGTCAGGAAGTTCACATGCTGCAAGTCAATCATCTGATTCTGATCCGTCACTGAGTGAACGACCGAAGTCGTGATGAAGGAGAGAAGGCATTCTTCGTTGAAGTAGTCGACGAGCTGGCGTAGGCGAAGGCATTCAGGTGTGAGGCTTCTTGCCTTTCTGAAGGTCACAATCTTCTGCCCAGTGGCCTTTCTTCAGACATAGCTTGCAGCGAGAGATCTTTTTGAGCTGTTCGCGATTCATGGTTAACCCCGCTTGCCTCTTCCGCCGAACTCGTGAGGACGCCGAGCTCGATCGTCTGAACCTTTGGTGAATGAGGTTCGGTCTGTCTTCAGGGCGGCCTTATACTCCTTGTTCTCCTTCCATGTCCTGGGGCGACGCTTACGGGTCTCCAGAACAGTTAAGCCGGTCCTCTGCGACGTCGAGGGGCTCTAGCTCATTCGCCAACTCTTCATCGTCCAGGGCCTCTTCATCCTCTGCCAAGTCCTCGGACGTTGAGACGTAGGTCTCATGGGCCGTCGTCGCCGTCTCCGTGAAGGCAGCAATGCGATCAGACCGAACGTCGAGACGACCAAGGGCTCCGGCGACGGCCACTGGATCATCCTCTTTGTCTTGTAGGAGCGTGGCCAGGTTCTGCATGTTCTGGTCGTTCAGCCCGGCACCTTCCTTCATCAGAGTGGCCTTGAAGGCGTCGGGAATTTGCACACCAAAAGAGGCAGCGTGGCCGAAGTCGTGCACTGCAAACTGTGCCAAGGATTCGTCCATGCGTCGATGCTGCTCAGTCAGAGCGGCCTTGAAGGCCCGACGTTTCTCGTCGTCTTCTCTCAATCCAGCCTTGTTGCGTTGATCACCTCGAGGATGACGTCCAGGTAGACGGAGGAGGAGGGCACGGATTCTGGAATGTGCTCGAAATCAGTCTCCCATCCGAGTGCTCTCAACACCTTCTCAGCTCGTCGGTTCACCGGCAGGTCGGAGACCTTGTCCCAACGGCGCACTGATTGCACCCAGTATAATCGCCTATGTCCCCAACCCGGCCAGGCGGGCGGATCGGAGAACTCACCTCGATAGCCGCTGTAGTTGGAGCTCCATCCGTGAGACCATTGCCAATCTCCTCAGTTAAGCGTTGGCCCATCCAGCGGAGGAAGACTGCCAGGGGGCATTGGACGCCCGCTCATCTGACCAACGGCTGGCGCCGAAAGGGGACGTCAGGGGCGTCGTCGAGGAAGTCGGCGCAGGAGGTCCACCATGCAGAGGCCGCCGGCGCCGTCTGAGACGTCGAGGGCGATGTCGTAGAGGTCGATGTAGTCCCTCCGCCGCTGGAAGTGGGTCACCGGAGACGGAGTCCCGCCGCCATCAACGTTGCGACTGGGGCCTAGAGGGTCATGACTTTGTCCATGAGGGGGGCCCGCTTCGGTGGCCTGCAGCCCAGTGCTCCCGGCGGAGCAGCAACACTGGTCCCTCTTGAGTCCACCATGCGTCCCAGGGCCCATTCCATGCCTAGCGCCGCATCCACGGAAGCCGCCAACGGAGGGAAAGCGTGGTCCGTGGTGCCAGCAGCAGCGTCCATGGCTCCGGATACCAACTGTAGAACACGGCCAACCTATAGCATCGGCGGGCTTTTCCGGCATGCGACGAGAGTCGCGCTTGAGCCATGTCCAGTGGCATGGCGACATCACGAAGTGACCGATTGATCAACAGCCATGACGCTTTCCTTAGGCGTTTCTTGACACATACCCTTCAGGGTATTCAACATCAGCTTGCCGGTTAGGGCAGCATTGAAACACCGTTTTACCCGATCCACCAGCCCCCCTCGTTAAAGGCACCGTCCAAGGTCCAATCATCTTGAACCTCAGTTTCCTCATTGTCTTTGATGGTGGTCCTTAGTGCAAGGAACTGCTGGCAAGGCACAGTATAAGACCTGGGTCAACAGGTACAAAACGTCTTTTCCTAGGGTACAGGTGGTGCCTAGTATATGACTCGTATGACCAGTAGTCTTCTGTTCTAGTCTGCGCGGCAACGGACTTACCCGTTTACCCGTGCTGAAAATGTCATAGAAAGGACGCTCTTTGACATCGAGTTTGATATCTCGCTCTTCCCTGCGCTCGCACCCAAAATACCTATTGAAAGGTTCAGGGCCATCAATGTCAATCATGCTGGAAATTGATTTCCACGCAGCCTTGATCTTCTTGGTTGGTGCAGCGAGCTTCAGGTCATCTACGCGTAGACAACAAGAAGAGCATCAAACTCAGGATGGTAGAATACAGAACGCCAAATTTCTTTGAGAACTGATCGCCGTCCTTTCTTACCAATCTGTTTCTCAAAATACGCTTCCCAAATACCACCACTATCTGGGTGACCGTATAATGCTAACAGCATTGGTACTCAGGGATCATTATAGTTTCCCTTCCAACCTTTAGGCCATCGATCTTTAGGTAACTTCAACCATGTCGGCACGCCGGTGAAGGCGGCTTGGGTATATGCTTACCAAGCATCCGCTTGTTCCTTAGAATACCCAGGTTGAGATCCGAACGCATCTAAGATCTTGGCGGCTTCCATTGAAGCTGGAGATGATGACATCTCAGAGAAAATGGCATAATCTGAATTTTCATCGAATACATTATTTCCTTGAAAACACGATCTACCCTTATACTTTCTTTGAGGGTATCCAACCGGCAACTGCCTTTAAGAGTGCGTGTACCTTCTCACCTTTCTTGCGGGCCTCCTCAACTACACGTCTGCATTCCTTAACTCTTTCTTGGTCCCAAGTCTTCTTATTAAGAAGCTTGTCCCATTCCTTGTCCAAGGATGCCTGAGCATCCTTGGATGCAGCAATTTCTTTCTTGTTGAGTACTTTGGCAACCGCAGAGAAACAAGTCTGGTACTTGGGTTTCATGAGAAGTTGGACCACAGCGGCAAACAAGCTAGCATTAGCTTCATCAGTAAGTTCTTGTATCTTTTCTTCCACTAGTTGTCTCATGTCGCTACGGTGTGGTTCATACACATTGTGCTCAATAGGCATGGCAGGAGCAGCAATCATAGCTGGAGGACTTTCACTAGGGTTTCTTTCTACAGAAGCCTTGTCAACAGCCTCGGCTGCTTTCTTCTTGTCTTCCAGTTCTTGTTGGTAGTCGCTCCACGCTTTCTTCCGCTGCTTGTGACTCAAGTTCTGCCATAGATCGGTTGGGAATCCAGGGACTCTTTTGGAGCCTTTCTTTTCTCGGACTAAACGGACGCCATCATAAACATAACCTTTTGGAACTGGCTTTCCATCGGGAAACATGTATGGGTTGACAGATGGGTCATAGAAAAGTTCAAACAATGTTGGTTCCCTTTCTTTCTTTTCTTTTCCTTTCTTTTCAATCGGCTCAGCTTTTAAGCTGGCTAGTTCTTCTGGTTTCATTTCACGCATTTATGCTTCAAGTTCTGGCGCCCCTGATGGTGGATCCGGGACCTCAGCTGGTTCATCTTCACGTATAGGAGGCTGATCTGGTCCTGGGTCATCGCCATCTTGGTCAGCGCCATCCGGTGGGTCGTCTTCATCGTCCTCTTCAGGTTGGTGATCTAAATCTTGAAGATCGAGCGCCGGCTTCTCTTTGAAATGATGCGGGAAAATGAAATCACCATTAGGCAAAGCAACACGTTTGGTTCGTATCGTTTTCAAATGTCCTTCTTTCAGGAAATAATCCAAACTGTCAACATTCGCTACCAAATACCCTCCCCTCCAAACATGTCCAGCCTGAATGTTGTACCCTAAGAAAACACCTTTCTTGGCATTGGGAGCAAACTTTCCTCTCTTTGGTTCATACTTGCCCTCCCAAAAATAAAGAAGACATCCGAAAGGCAGTTGTCTACCAAGAAATACATTGTCAAAACGCAGTGACCATGGTGGGTCACCTCCATTCAATTGTTTGACAACATTGGTAGCCATGGCATGGTGCTTGGAGGCATATGGCCATAATGACAAAGGCATGTTGGCCTGCAGTAGATTTGAACGCGCCCCTTCCAAAATGATACGGACTTCCCGTTCGACAACTGCTTTGGTAGAATGTTGATACTCAACAGAAGTTTGATGCTTGAATCCAAGTTCTTCAATAGCATCCAACATTTCTGGAGCATTGTCAGTGTACACGATACCAACAAGGTCAGAAGTCTTAAGAAAATGTTTGAAAGCCTTCACAATCGAATGCGCCGTCTTGTTCTCAAACGGGTAAACGCATCGGTATTGTGTGTACGCGTCTTTGATCACTAACATGGCACGCAAACAATATGATCTCCAAAACCACGCGCCAAAACATGTTGTGATCCGCCTACGCTTCTACCGTAGGGCGCAAGCATCTTAGCTTCACTACAAACATCACAGTAGGGGTTCTTCGGTCTATGTGTGAATTGATGCGCCCCTGATTTTGCTTTCTTTACGAAGCTGTTCTTCGGCGTTCTCCCCTGCTACGGGAACATCCTCAAAATCAAACGGAATTTCCTCTTCTGGGTCACTATCCTCTCCCTCCTCCTGTTCCTCATCGGCATTGGCAGCTACGCCAGCGTCATCATCCTCCCCTTCCTCTTCAGGTTCGGACTCACGACTGGCCATAGCATAGCCTTGGTCGATGGGAACTGGTGGATGGAGCCAAGTACCTTAATAAGACGGTTCCTTAGTGACTCAGGTGCATGTCTCATCAATATAAGGAACCCTACCTTGAAGTTTGAATTTAACACATTGTCCATCTGGTCGTAAGAAAATGGGAGTGGTATCCTTTCCCCAAACAAAATCGTACCCTTGTTCCAAGCATCTTAATCCGATTGAGAGTGCTGAGGGAGTACTCTGAAGAATGTAGGGACTAAAGGATTCACACAACCCTGGAAGAATCACCTCAACTACATCTTCAGCAGTGATGGGACCATTGGCAGTAGTGAGGGAAATGGGTTCATTAGACTTGAAGGTTTTCGTGGCTCTGCTCACAGTCTTGGAGTCTTTACCTACGATGTCCTGGTCAGTGCCAGTATCTCCTAGCCACTTCTCCATGCCTACAGTACTTGGCATCGCAGTTACGCCACGCGAGCGCAAAAGGGCGCCTGTTCACCGGTGACCGTCCTACACTTTGCGCAGCACAAGTCATCGGGGCCTTCTGGGGAATGATCGCAAAGGAAATCACACGCAGGCTCCTCAGTATCCATTGATTCGAGCATCTGCCTAAGTGACTCCGCCGCCAAAATGGCGTCCTTAGTGTCACACTCGAGGGACTTTGGACATTCCTCAGTGGTCCGGAACAGGTGTCGCTTTCTGCTCTTATTCACTACACGCCGGTACATGTCTTTCCAAACGGGAAAGGTGTGTGCCTCAGGTTTGAATTCAAAGCGAATTCTCTTCTCTTGCAAAACACGGAAAACTGATTTCCCAGTCCAGTCAAACTTCTGTTTCGCGTTTGAGCGTTTCTTCCAATTACCCTTAAATGTCCTACTCTTCGCTTTTGAGTCAGTGACTACCATGGTAAACTGGTCTTCTAACCTAGATGATTCCACGGGACAGGATTTACGTGTTGGGAGAAACGACCTGCTTCTAGGCTTTAAATGATGCCGGACTAATTTCGTGCCATCTTTGGAGAATTCCCAATAGTCTTTACTCTTTGGGGATTGAGTAGCTGTTGCGGCTAAGCAAGACAGTGCGAAACCTGTGAGAATACATGGGCTTGCCTTTGGGCTCTTTTCCTTCTTTTCCTTTTTGCTCTTTTTGTCCTTCTTGGATTTCTTGTCCTTGGACCTTCTAGCTGCAGGAGATGGGCTGCGTCTGCGTGGGGCCGGTGTAGCCGTTTCACCGTGTTTGAATGGGCATTTGCCACCCCTTTTGCAATTGCCTTTTGCAAAGAACCTACATGGTTTCTCAGATTTCCTACCTCTACTTGCGCTTCTTGATGAGTTTCTTGTCCTGCTACGGGAGGACGACCTCGAAGAACTTCTTGATCGGCTTGACCTGAAAGAGGAGCGACCACTAGAACTAGCACTACGCAAACGCGACGACAACGGCTAAGGGAGCGGCGACGGGCACTAGAGTCATGCGAGTACTTGCGTTTGCTCCCGTACTTGCATTTGCCACTTTTGGCGAACTCATAGCATTGGTTGCTGTTGTCACCTTTCGTGCTTCGTTTGCCATAACTAGGGCTTCGTGTACGTTTGTCATGTGGCGCTGGGTTTGCATATTTTGCTGAGTGCGATTGAGAGATTTTCTCTCTATTGGTCCTAAGCCTTTCCCTATCAAGATATCGTCTGACAGGGTTGATGAGAAATTCATAGCTTCTGTCGTTACTTCCTTCTGAAGCACGTTCATAGACATCAAGGTCAAATCTGAGTTTACGAGACTTCCTAACCTCTCTATAGAAAAGATCCTTAAGTGTAGCTGGGTCCGGTACATGGCTCATTCCAGTCAACACACTTTCCCATTTCCTAAGAAAGGATTTTAAGTCATCACTGTCAAGTGAGATCTTGAGGAGGTCTTCAGTACCATAAAGTGCACCTGCTTCTTCGCCAGTTTTGAAATGGACTTCAATGACTTCAAACATGAGCAAGACCTGACGA